CCTCTGACCCTCCTCCCTCTCATGCTCTCTGTCTCTCATTCTCTCTCTCAAATAAATAAATAAAATCTTAAAAAAAAAAAAAAAGAAAGGGTATCTGAACCAATTTAAGCAACTAGAGATCAACTTAAGTTTCAGCCTCACCCAAGTGCTTAAAAAACGTCATCATTAGAGGAATGAATTTCATTTACCATTCTGGAAATGGAAAAACAGTATATAACCCTGTTCTTGATTAAGGTACTACGGATAATGTAAGTTTAAGATTTTTTTAGGGCTGGGGTTTGCATCTGTCGCGAGTTTTTAAGTGTCAACCGGCAGAAGCTGGCCCTGGTGACTCCGGGACCTCTTGTAGGTAACCAACTATTTATCTGTTCTAATTTGAACTGCCGAAGGTGCTACTGTCTTGTGCTCAGTAAATGGTCCCAGTAAAAATGCATGAGTAAATCAAGCCGAAATCAAATAAAGTCTGAGTTCTGACAGAGTGTCAAGGAAAGGTGGGGAGGGGGTGGTTTTCCAGAATGACAACGGGTTATTCTAGGCAGTAGACGCAAAGGGAGAAAAAGCGAGAACAGCGGGAAAATTGGCGTGGCTGGAAGGAAATGGAACCTCATCTGGCCAGACAGGGGTACTGCTGGAGCATCCGACCCAGAAGTCACCCAGCTCTCCTCCTCCCCACCTCCCTTCTCCCTCCTGGGTCCCCCTTTCCCGCTCGCTGCCGGCGCCGCCCCCTGGAAAAAGCGTGGGCGGAAACGGAGCCCCGAGCGGTCGTCTCATCGCGCGTTCCTAAAGGCGCGCGGGGCTGCTGGCGCCGCTTGATGACGTCAGGTCATTGACAGCGTGAGGCGGCGGCCGTGGCGGCTGCTTCTTTGGTTGTGAGCGGCCGGGTAAGGGTCTGAGTTGATCTGCTGCGGGGCTAGGGCGCCTTCCGAGGGCGCGGGGGGTGGTTTGGAGTTTGCAGCCGGGGCGGCGGGTTTGTTGTCTGTAATGTCGTGGGCCTGGGGGCGGGAGTTGGAGGCCCAGAAACCTGACTCTGAGGTCAGGGCTGCGGGTATGTTGGAGGGGAGGCTGCGTCCAAGTTGGGTGAGAGGCACGGTAGTCGGGCACAGGGGACTGGCGGAAACCTTAGGATCCGGATTGGGGTGAGGGTAGTCGGGAGCTTCGGGCTGGGAGGATCACGCTCACGAATGTCTCTCCCGCTGTCCCCGCCCGCCTGCTCCCGGTGGTTCACGTGGGCTGCAGGTGCAACATGTCTAGACTGGGGGTCTTGGGCAGTGCCCAAGCCGGGCTGGGACTGTTGCTGGGCACCGCCGCCGGCCTTGGATTCCTGTGTGCCCTTTACAGCCAGCGGTGGAAACGGACCCAGCGCCATGGCCACAGCCAGAGCCTACCTAACTCCCTGGACTACACGCAGACCCCAGAGCCAGGACGCCAGGGTACGAGCCGGTCCCCTGAGGCCACAGTCGTGGCTGACGGATGGGCCTAGGGTCCGGGCTGCCTTTAGCAGAGCCTGTGGGACAGGACAACGGAAGGGGGTGGCTGAGAGTTTCACTTTTCTGTAAAGCTTTTTGAAAAGGAAAGCAGCCTCTCTCTTCTTTTTCCTGTAATCCCAGGAAAGTATACTGTGAAAAGGCTGTTTAGCTTTCACTCTTAGTTCAGGCCACAATAGTGCCACGCATGTTTTAAAGGCACTTGCTTAGTGTTGGGTGAGGGGTTTAATAAGTAAGGAGTCCAAAAGAAGGCAGAAGGGAAAACTAATCTTAGGGGAATTAATTCTTGAGGCTCATATATTAAATTATGTATTAGAATTTGAAGGGAACTTGGAGACTATCCAAGTTGTTTTTGTTTTTATTTTTAAATCCTTCTTAGGAGAAAATGGAAATTTGAAAAGATTGTGTAACTTTCCCCAGGGTGTCACAGAGCAATTAAGTGGTACGATTGGGCCTGGTCACCTGGTTCTCTGAATTTGCACAGCATGGATGTGGGAGTGCATGTTCGGCAGAACTTTGACCTTAAGTTATTTGAGCAAAGCATCTAGGGCTGGTTCAAACCACTCTCCTCAGGTGTGTGTAATAGAGAAGCATTGAGATCATGTCACCCCATGTTAATTGGGAATGAGTGTTTCTCTGATTACCAAATGCCAGATGGATTGGAAAAGTTTGTTTTAGAAGAGTCTTCAAAGAGTTACCAATTTAGATTGTAACTGGCTAGTAACCTAGTATTTCAAGTGTGCTTGTCTTTCCTTTTCCTTGTGGTTTATTTGTAATTTCTTAGCAGTAGATATTTGGAGAAAGTGGCTATGTTCCCAGAGATCTTTCTTTTCTAAGGTTTTATTTAATCTCTACACTTGACGACTTAATCTCTTAATCTCTACACTTAAATTAGTAATCTCTAATTTAACGTCTCGACCTCACGACCCCTAGATCAAGAATCGCATGCTCTACCAACTGAGCCAGCCAGGTGCCCCCCAGAGATCTTTCTTGCTCTCTTGAGCAAGAAATTCTTGAATGATATTGGGTGTGTACTGTAATCCAGCCTAGACTCTTACTAAAAGATTTCCTTTAACACATTCATGCTTGCCTGGACTGTGGGTCCTGCCTTCCTGGTTTCTTTACTGTTTTTACATTTTCCAGTCTAATGGCCTTGGGTAGCTACCAGTTTATTAGCATTTATTGTTGGAATTTTTACCCAGAGCTCAAATGAGGGCTTGGGAATGGTGTTTTTTCCATGGGGTGTGGATGGGCTTTTCTCTTAGTAACTGCCCCTTTCTCTTTGCCCTTCTTTGATGATACTAAATGAAGTCCTCGAAAGGATCTCAGAGTTTCCTTTGCTCTTCTTTGTGAAGTGAAAGCTCAGAATTTGGGCTCAATTTTAGTTTTGCTGTGGGGTTAGTATTGACTGCCTGGTATATGGGAACTAGACGGACAAGTAAAGGGTTTTGTTTTCCTTTCACAGGGCAGGTGTCCTGCCTTCTAGGGACTGCGTTCTTGCAAGCATTTTACATTACCTGCCGTGGCGTGCGGTACTGCTAAAGGCCCTGGTGTGACAGGTTCTTGGAACGGGGGGGGCTCTTGTTTAGAGATTGGGAATCTTGATTTTCTTTTTTCTTTGAATAGTAACTTGAAGACTTGTTACCAGGATTTAGCTATGAACATATACTGTCTGAGCTTCAAGGGTTTTAGTAAATTGAGCTCCAGTGAGAAGCAAGTGTTCTTAAATTGCAGGTCCAAGATCTTTTCCTCACCCTGTCCCCTGAGCATCACTGTGCTGTCCTTCCTTCAGTGAGGCCTTTTCGGGCAGTCCCTGGTGAGGCTGGAGACGCTGCGGTGCTGCCCAGCCTTGCGCGAGAAGGCCCGGAGGAGGTGCTGGAGCGCCTGGACTTGGTGCTGACCAGTCTGGTGGCCCTGCGGCGCGAGGTAGAGGAGCTGCGGAGCAGCCTGCAGGGGCTTGCTGGGCAGATTGTTGGGGAGGTCCGGTGAGTGATGCAGCCTTCGGTCCCGCCTTGCTCCCTGCCCCTCAACTTCTCCCGGCCCCTCTAGCTTTCTCAGCTGAGCTGTGTCCTGGCCTTGCTGCTCTCTCTGAGGAAGAAGCCCATTTTAGAGCTGCTCATGTAATTGGCTGGGAAGCTGTAGGCTTGGTACCTTGCCTTCCATAAGTTCCTTGCTGCTTTCGGGCCCTCGTGGTCTGTTGTAGCGGCTGCCAGGCTTTGTTCTGACTTAGCTGGTTTGCCCATGCAGGCTGGGTCCAGGGAGCTGCCCTTCGTGTTGTCCTAAGGGTAGAAACCCGGGATTATCTCTGTGTTTGGCCCTTTAATGAGCAGCAGGAGTAAGAGGTTCCCTCATGGGGAGGAGAAAGACAGGCTGGCTGGGGCCTAATGGCACCCTCTCTAAAGGGCCCTGCCTTTCAGATCCCACATGGAAGAGAGCCAGAGAGTGGCTCGGCGGCGAAGGTTCCCTTTTGCCCGGGAGAGGAGTGACTCTACTGGGTCCAGCTCTGTCTACTTCACAGCCACGTCCGGAGCCACATTCACAGACGCCGAGAGCGAAGGCGGGTGAGTCCTTTCTCCTGGAGGCGGTTGTGGCTTCAGCCAGGTTACATTTTGTAGAAGTACTCTTTATCCGCGGAAAGGTCCCACTGAGCAGCTGTCAGTAATCTTGGGAACAAGGTAAGAGGGTATAAATGAATAAAATAAGGAATAGGTTAAACAAGAACCATCCACCTTATGCCACCCAAGCAAATGAGATGTTAACAATGCTTATTGCTTGCATCTGTCATTTTTCTCTGAGTGGGTTTTTCACATAGTTGCTGTAATTTTTCATTTTTCCTGTAACATTAGTTGAATATTTGCCTGTGTTTTCACAAGGACTTTATAAGCGTTGTTTTAGGACTTTATTTCCTTCACTCAGTGGCTGAGCCAGGTTTCCAGAGCCCTCTAAGCTCTAACTGTGCTCCCCTCTCCTGGAAGCTCCGCTCTTCCCGCAGGGGAGGCTCGCTCGCGCTCCCATGCCATCTTGACAGGTGGGAGCTGACCGAGTCCTTGGTAGCCCAGCAGGTCCGACCATAGGCCTTAATGCGATGCGGGACAGCAGGCACGAGTCTGGTGGACAGCTTCCAAACGTGGTCAGGCTAAGGGCTTTTTGATTTTAAGTCACCAGTGCCATATTGAAACTTTGGTCTCAAGGGTGGAGTCTGAATGAAGGTCTTTGTTGTGGTGCCTGATGCTGTCACTTGCGTGCGGCTAGCTCCTCTGTGAGGTCTCGAAGCTGATCTTTCTTCCTGCCCGAGGAAAAGACTGGCACAGAGAACAGCCCAGCCTTCTGCTGGGACAGGACTGACTCGGCTACAAACATGCCTACAGCCGTTCAGGGTGATCTTTGCAGCAATGTCCTTCTTTAGCTGAAACACTTTACGATGTTAACTGCTGTTTATTTTTCCTCTGGCAGACACCATGCCAGGCACTTTAGAGCCATTTCCTCACCTACTCCTCCCAGGGATCCTAGGAAGTAGGTGCTGCTCTTCTTCCTTTTCTCAGATGGAGACTTGAGGCTTAGCGAGGTTTGATGCCTTGCCCAGAGTTATATAGCTATTAAGTGCAGGCTCAGTGGGGCTCATCTGCAGGGGCGTGAGGGTCTGTGATCTAAGGCATGGCTTGTTTTGGGGGCATGGAAAGGCCTTTACAGGAAGACCTGTCCCATGCAGCCCTTGGGAGTTCTTCCCGTGGACTAAGAGCTGCCACAACTCATTGCCCAGGGAAGACCTACCCATAGCAGTATGATCTGGTCAGTACATCTTAAAAAACTTTCAGCCTCGTTTTCTTGTTTGGGACAGTATATTCTCCTGCCTCTCCTCATTTGGTTTTCTTTTCTTTTTTTTTTT